ATTGAGGTTGCAGTGCTGCTTCCTCTATGATAAACTTACATTGAATCTCTAGTTGATCAGGTGACGTGTGAGCATGCCTAGCAATGGCGACCTGGGAATAGCGAGGTACAGTCAGGAGCTGTAATTGAATTATTTACTTAAGTACAGACATTACGACTGTATGATTCACAGGGACACGACACGTTAACCTGTAGGAGCCCCACAGGTTCCGATAGGGATTCAATAATACATCTATCGCGCGGTATTTCGCACATATTAATCATATTGAGTCATATTTGATAGCCAGGAGACGGTTGCATATGGCGAAATCTTGTTTATTTGGAAAAATTTGTGACACGAACAAGTCTGAGACCTTCAATTTTCATGAAACATGTACAATCCATTGTATGTAGGTTTGTCAATAAGATGGATACTTTTTATTAAATGATAGACAACGTATTGTCATCATCTTTTTACAAATCGTGCAACAACAATAAGATTGAAAGTTGTTTCGTCAACCAAACATAGAATACTTTCCATTAAGTTGTACATGAACTTCACCTTGACTTAAAGGAGTAAAGTAATAAATTTCACTGAAATTCGGTTGGAACATCATTGATAGCGATAATATACCTCTCTATGTAGATGGTCTGAAATAATTCATTTTAAAGTCTTGAATGATTTTGCAATTCAAGTGATTTTTGACATTAGGCGCAAATGACTGAATGATCGCCCAACTTTCGAAAACTTTCCAGTTAATCGAAGGTATGGGAATAGAAATTAATAACAACTGTTGACATTTTGTCGTTTGGCATTAAGTTAGAGCTGACATATCCTCCGATGTCGTTTGTGCGGAGATGTCTCAAGGGTTCGCAAATAATCTGTTTTGTTTTAGATTATATTTCTATTTCAAGTCATTTACTATAACATACACATCAAATACAAAGTAATTAGTGGGTTTAAGAACCGAGAAAAATGAAATTTAACGGTTCTAAGCGATGTTTGAAGGATGTAAAAGCCACACTCCAACTTAAGATTTATAATTCTCTAGCTACGTTTGGAAAGGCCTACATTGCTCTAGATAATGGCCATATCATCGGTCCAGCGCAAGAGGTGTGTGCTGCAAGCAACATTTAGTCTCGTGTTTCAGTAACAAGATTATTTGATAAGATGTGAGATATGCGCTGACACGATTCCCCTTCAGCAATCTACATTATATATTTTTTGTGATTCCTACTTCTAAGCACGGTATACGTTTATCAACCAACCGTAAGTTGGTGGAGCAGTAGTTACTTTGTTTTAATAAAAAGAAGAAACATTTGAATCCGGACTAAGTAAAGACAAAGAATATTTAGTTAATATATATTTGTATATACAGCTTGCTTAACGACATCAATTTACTATAGAAATACTCGTGATTGTACCACAGTTATCGGTGTATCCTCTAGACAGTGATATAGGGGTTGATAACTATAATAGATAGACCAATAGCACGGCATTCAGCATGGTCCCATGTCTGCTATATACTGTATAATATCGACTGTCTGCATTTTTAAAAACTATTATAACAAATTCTCGCAGGGACCTACAACATAATGACATTCATTACTGTATATCAAAATTTCCTTCTACGACTATTATATATAATGGATGTTTTCTTTAAAGTCTATTGCATATGAAGTAAAATCATTTGTAGGAATATTACATATATGCATCTTTTGTAGGATTAAAACATATTATATATTCATTATTTTGGGACTATAATTTCTAGTACATATGTCTTTTGTGAGACTAAAATATAATGGATATATATTCTGTTGGTCTGTATCATATAATGTATACTTTGATAGACTTGCTTGACTGTGTCGTGAAATATTTGGATACGCCATCAAATCCGCGTCAATTTACGCATATATATGCCACAGAAACTGTAAATTGACGCAAATATTAAGTACATATAGAACAAGGAAGTGAAAACTAACATAAGATGATAAAGGAAAACAATTTATAAAAAGTAAAAGACAAATTGATTATAAAGGAAAAAACGCAAACGGAAATGATGAACTTCAGGTAAGTAGGTTTTATTTAAGGAAATATATCATAAAAAGGAAAGGTGGACAGGTTATTAAAAGGAAAAACTTTCTAAAGTTAAGGCAAACATGGTATAAAGAGGCGAATGATATAAAAGAGTAAAGTAAAGCAAGTAAGCAAAAATAAAGGAAAACAGGTTTTGAAGAAATTAAGGTTTACATATTATCAAGAAAGTTATTAATGACAGACAAGTTTTAAAGAAGTTCAGCTTATAAAGGAGTAAATGCACGCAGAATGTAAAGAGGTTAAGCTTATAAAGGAATAAATGCACGCAGAATGTAAAGAAATTAAGCTTATAAAGGAGTAAATGCACGCAGATTGTAAAGAAGTTAAGCTTATAAAGGAGTAAATGCACGCAGAATGTAAAGAAGTTAAGCTTATAAAGGAGTCAATGCACGCAGATTGTAAAGAAGTTAAGCTTATAAAGGAGTAAATGCACGCAGACTGTAAAGAAGTTAAGACCAATAAGTTATTAACAAATAAGATTAATTTAATAGCTCCTATAAACAGAGGAGCATGTCACATATCGTTATCAATATAATTTCCATCTGATCCATATCGAGTTCCTATTAAAGTCTTATAAGATAATAAGGAATTTACGATAAAGGCACCTTATTGGTATAACAGCATTACTGATATACATCGTACATTATACAAGTTTGATTAAATCAAGAATTATTTATAGAACTAAAAATAGGACATCAATGACGTAAGTGATGCTGAGAACACATGTTGTAAGTGAAAATTTGTTGGGGGGATGGGTGGCAGAGTTCGTTTTCGAGTTTTCCGATATCGTGTTTTTTTCCCAACTATTTAACACAAGACACAAGATAAATACTCAATGTCACCAGACTGTTAGAGGAACATCCTGTGACACCAAAACAGCATGTTTAGACGCCCGGCACCTATCTCTATCTCACAAAAGGAGCACGTACCTTGCACTCAGAGGAACACCAATATGACATAATCAGAACATTTCGTGACACCAAAGGAACATCTCTAGGGCGGCTGGGCGGCGTAGTGGCGGGCTTCCACTGAGGGATCGGGTGTGGAAAGGAATGGGGTCACCTGCTCGATCCCTTGGGTTTTCTCCGGGTGCTCTGAGTTCCTCCCAAAGTGAGACCCCCTGCGGGCCTCAATTAATATTAGTTTAAATTCATAACTGTGTACAAATAGTTGTTGTGCAGTATACGGAGTTGACATTGAACATGTCAATGGCACGAAAAGAACATCACTATGACGCAAGAAAAACATCTCTTTAACAACAGAGGAATATCTGTATGTCAACAGAAGAACGTGTCTATGCAAAAAAAGGGAACGTCTCTATAACAACCAGACGACACTTCTATATAACCAGACTGGAATGAAAACCTATATGACAGCGGAGGAACACGTCTTTGCCAACGGGAAAAGTTCCTATAACACAACAAGAACACCTCTGTCACTTGCCTAAAAAGAACGCCTCTTTGATACCAGAGGAGCATCTCCTTCACATCGGAGGAAAATAGTCATGCCACCAGAGAAACACTACTACCTTGATCTTGTGGATGAAAATATCTGAATTGATTTTTTTTTCAATAATGGATTATCATTTCGAGTAAAAAAGGGATGCAACCATCACAACGATTCGAACTCTTTTTGCTAAATTTTTCATCAGAGGCTTACTGCAATATTTCGCCTTGTATGATATAATAAAGTAATAAAGGCTATACTGTATGTCTCCACCTTACAGTACCTACAAGTTGTAAAACCATCCTGTATGACTACACCTTGTTATAGTTACAAGTCGTTATAATCACACAGTATGGCTCCACGTTGAATTACCTACAAGTCGCAATGGTCATACTGTATAACTCCGGCTTGAAACATCTACAAGTTGTGCTGTTCATCCCTCATCACCCACGTGGGAATCTCCTTTAAAAGTTCATCACATTTTACCCTTACATTCCACCTTTGACATTAATTGAGTTTTGTACTCATCTGCTGTCGATACCACTCTTGTATTTCCTTAGTGGCATCACTGATAACAATTTCTTGGGTTTGCTTTAACTCCTTCGGCTGTTGTAAAATGATTTTTCTGTTAAAATGTGAACTTTAAGATGTTCTGACAGGTTTAATTGTTGTTTCACAATTATTTTTCAATAGATTTTTTTCTGTTTTTATATTTCTTAAGTGAATGATAAGGAGATATGGAGGTGTGATACCTCTAGTCTGTCCTTTATTATGACACTTCCGTGTTTTGTTGAGACTAACACTAAAACACATATCACGTTACAAAAAAGGATATAAATGTTACTTTCATAATAAATTGTATAACGTGTCGTATATCCAATTATTTTGAGCTGATACACGTATCCTTTTTTACTGGCATGTGTCATTGGAGACCTACAGAAGGGAGTCAGGGGGATTTTTAATAGGAAATCATTCGTGGAGTACAAAATATTCCATTTAAGATAATGTTCTCACGCCCGTGTATATGGTTCTTGTAGCATTTCATTCAAAAATGTTTTATCGATATTAAACAGTCAAACGGATTGGGCACGTGTTCTTGCAACTTTCTAGGTCCTCTCCCATCGAAGAGCATTGCACAAAGTAAACTGGTTATGCTTTAGGCCCCAGTGTAGTTGTCATTTACAATCATGCAGTGGTATACATAAGGCATACCCCCCCCCCCCCCCCCACACACACACACACATACACACACACACACACACCGCATGCTTTTCATATTGTTACAAAGTATATTATATTACACATGGTGCCTTACAATTTGTATAACAACCAAAATAACGATGGGCACCTGCTAGGTTTGTTTTGAATATTATCCTTTCGTTTCAATTACAGGTCATTATATTTCCAAAAAACAATACCAATGCTATAATATATTCAAATAGATGTGTGTGTGTTAAAAATGTAAATGCAATACTTACTTGTATGTGTGTTCCCAGTGTAGCCCTAGTGGTAAATCCAGGGAACAAAACTGTCACAGGCTTGTGAGTTGTTAGTTCAGCAAATCGTCTGTGGCATGCTTGGACTGTTAAAGCCAGCATGTGGTGAACCTCTTAGTGGTCCGTACACCTCTGTGAATATATATAACTCATCCACGTACCTTAAGTCAGCTTCAGTTTACACAAACTTTCTCAAAGTAAAACGTTATATGTTATTAGGCATCAATTATTTATGATATAACTCGGCGTCGCATAAGGGATTTATCAAAACAAAAATGTCTACACCAAATTGGTGACAGTAGTGAAACAGCGACCGCTAATTCCCACTATTAATCTCAAGTCGCGCCAACAGTAGTGGGATGCTGTGCACGTTATTCCCGCGCTGGTGATAGTTTCAGCAGCTGGCAGCGGAGGGACGTGTTATGGTACAATACACATAGCTCGGTAGCTATTGTTTAACAGAATACTCCGCAGTCGGCCAATAGCCGCCGCCAGGTATCAGGTACTGTTTACAGCGAGGGACATGTATGATCTTAACAGCCCAGGTATAATTACTTTTTGGAGGGAGTAAGATATTAATCTTAAAAGACCAGGTATAATAATTGTATGGAGGGAGTAAGACATTAATCTTAACATCCCAGGTATAATAATTGTGTAGAGGGAGTAAGACATTGACCTTAACAGCCAAGATATATTTATTGTGTAGAGGGAAAAAGACATTGTTCTTAACAGTCCAGATTAGTATTGTGTATAGGGAGTAAGACATTGATCTTAACAGCCCAGATATAATTATTGTGTAAAGAGAGTAAGACAGATTTCAACAGTCCAGATTAGTATTGTGTAGAGGGAGTAAGACATTGATCTTAACACCCAGATATAAATATTGTGTAAAGGGAGTAAGACATTGATCTTAACAGCCTATATATAAACATTGTGTAAAGGGAGTAAGATATAGGTCTTAACAGACCAGGTATTATTATACTGTATACAGCGAGTAGGTCAGTGATCTTAACAGCCTATATATAAATATTGTGAAGAGAGAAAACATTGGTATTAATATACCAGGTATATTTATTGTGTAGGAGGAGTAAGGCATTGATCTTAATTTCCCATGGATAGTTATATAGCCACGTGACAACATTTATAAGGGAGAGCAAGTTAGATTCAAATATTCTCCCGTGATGTAAGGAAGCATACTTTTCCAAACCCTAAACAAAAAACTTTTGACATTTAGCAAACAGTAAAAATAAAATATTTCTGGAATACACAAATGTCAGCTGTCATTTAGATTATATTACGATAAGTTATAATCATAAGCGATTGACAATGTTTGTTGTCTAGATATTTAATAAGTCCGTTTTGTCTGCAATATTCCGTTTTGGTCTCGGCTTATTCTGGAGACTCCCAAATGATTTTGAAACCGAAATTATTTTCTTCTAGACACATTTCTATTGCTAATTGTACATTTCAAAGGATTGAAAGTATTGATCTTCCCATCAAATGTTATAAAAGTTAATAATAAAAAACAAATAAACCATCGTGTTCGCATTAATTACATCACTTCGTATCTGATATCATTATATCATTGCAGGCTGGCTTTGTTTCCTTATCGAAGCAATCTTTGACATTGTCCCTTTCGTGATGGTTAACTTTCATTTCATTTCTCGGTTGATTTGTTTCTTCGACGACAGTGCTAAGTATATGTAAGTATATGTATCATTTCATTGATAGCTGCTCTCTGTTGACCATTGGAGTGCTTAGTACCTTAATGAGGTTTAATGGATAGCTGTCGTCTGTTGACCAATAAAGTGCTGAGCCAGGGTTGTCTGCTGGTGAGTCAACGAGTAACAGATAGTTTGTCATCGTTATCAGTATCTGATTTACACCTATTGGATGCCTGCGTTAAATAAATACTTCTGCGCAGTGTTTTATATCACTGATGACAGACATACTCTCGTGAACTCACGTAACAGCACACGTCATGTGACTTATGACAGGTCCCACATGTGGTTCAGGAAACTCCAATGTTCCGGTGGACCTGCATTCTCCTCCTGTTCATGCTGTCTTTCCTTGTTGCTATTTCGTATCGACCCTCTGTTTAAAAATTAACCAAGTTTAGTATATGCTTGAAAATTTCTTGCAATCACATTGGCCGGATCCCACACCCGTGTTCAGTCATCATACACTCATGTAGACTGGTTATCCGGTGAATATTTTTTTCAGTTTCTGACAAAATTTTGCACAGAGGCAAAAACATGAAAAACTAAACAAAAATGCAGGACCTTTGATATTTGTTATTTTTGAAGCATATGATAAAACAGTTAAGGGTTTTTGTGCTGTTAAATATCCGGTTTCAGGTTCATATCACATCATATTCACCAGCACAAAAGTCAATAATTGTATAGTGTTGACATAAGAGAAATAAAAAACCAAAGAGAAAAAGCAACGCCTTGAACTGAGAACACAACAAAGCAGAAAGAAGGGACAGCATGAACATAACTAACACAAAATTAACATTGAGGCGAAAAAAGATATTCTGGCAGGTAAAGTTTTTCCTACACCGCATGTGGCCCTACCATGATGTCTTCCCATTAAATCCAGAAATGTAATCACACATTGAGCCAAAGACGTGTTTTGCAGTTTTCCCTTCAATGAAAGAACCAACAGCATCACAAACAATTTCAAATAATTATTAAATAACCAGACAAAACAAATAAGATGCTTATGGACTGTTATAACGATGGTTCCATACGAACAAACCAACCTATGATTTTATTAGAAAAAATAGACCGACTCCATCCCGATACATGATTGTATGAGGCAACTTATGTCGGGGCCTCAGCAAATCGGTGCTTTCTTTTGCGTCTTCTGCTTAGGTCGCATTGGGAAATCCATGTAAAATGATCTGCCACCCTCACTATAACATTTGATGATCTGCCACCCTCACTATAACATTTGATTATCTGACACCCTCACTATAACATTTGGTGATCTACCACCCTCATTATAACATTTGATGATCTGCCACCCACACTATAACATTTGATTATCTGACACCCTCACTATAACATTTGATGATCTGCCACCCACACTATAACATTTGATTATCTGACACCCTCACTATAACATTTGATGATCTACCACCCTCACTATAACATTTGATAACTCGTTCTCCACTGACACTTTCTTTTCAGTGCTATCCCACTACGCACATGAGACTATTACAGTAATTATGTAACTTTGTCCAAGTTAAGACATTTTTAGTTAGATGGCACTTTCAGTGACCTCATCATCTACGGATTTATGCACACGGCCCTCATAACTGTTTTGAAGACGCAAAATTAATCACGATAATTACTCTTATCCTAAACCTCGTTACTAAACTATCGATGAAAGGTTTTAAATGCTCCCTCACAAACCCTTAAAACATCCACGGATGCAGAACAAAAAATGATCCTGGTCGAAAAGTAAAACATGAGAATAGAACGCTGCGTAATGTCTCTTGCAACTGATGTTCATTATAAAAAAGCAGTGTTTGAAGACAAAAACGGCATAAAGGAATGGTGCTGGCAATATTCCATCAGTTTGACATTCGATTCCTATTCTCTATGTCAGGAAGCGTTGTCACAAAGGCTTTTATTGTAAGGTTATTTGCATTTTAGGTGATTATTCCACACTGTACCACGGGAATTTACACATCTGAGCTTATCTGATATCGTTATTGAACACGTACAAACAACAACACGCTCCCTGTATAATGGTACAGCGTCCTAAAAGGTCGAATGATGTAAGCCACGCACTGTTCTGTAAATTAAAGTACACTGTATACAACTGTAATTGTAAGGGGTAGCAAAAAGGATATATGCTCCCCTGGGAAACAAATAGGCGACAGACTTTGTAATGCGACGCTCTACCTCTGCGTGAAAAGGAAACTTCTCCCACCCGAAACTGGTAAGAGACTTTGACACTATAAACAATATACAATATCTACACCACAGGAACTATCGCTTGTTAGTGGTGTGCGTCTAATAAATGAGAGTTTTTAATTGGGTCGTTATATTGAAACACTATTACACCGTTGGGGTTAACTATCATACATGTACACTGTACAAAGTATCTGATCTAGTATATTAATATAAATATAATTGAAATTTCTTTCTTTTGAAATTTACACAAATGTTCCTTTGAAGTGTTATATCATTGTTTGCTGAAATATATGTGTTGTAAAATAATGTCCTTAAATAATGTAAATCAATTTAATACGAATAAGCATCTTCAATGTTTATTTATGACTGATAATTTTACACATGGACATGTATCAGCAAAGTGTAATTATTCATGATTATATATTTCCATTTTCAATTTCAATCGGATCAAATAAAAGGTTTATTATTGGACGTATGTATTTATTAATTATTTTGTTTATGTCCGTATAGTGCAATTACTCATAATATCACATTTCCATTTCTTTACTTAAATAGCGTTTATTAAAATGTCATTTAGGTTGATATAATAATTATTTCGACGGTTATAATTTCTATATTTAGCAAACAGTACACTTATGTCAGGATGTACCTACTGTTAAGAAAGTATCCTGATACATACTTCTTGCACACCGCCATCCCAAGATATCCGTGTACACCAATCTGAATACTGCAAGTGAAATAGTACAGAAGATATGCCTCAGACAACCTTTAACAAAAGTTAAGGTCAAAGGTCAAGTCTGGGACGGACGGACAGAGTGCAAACCTGTAGTCTCCCGGAAACCGGTTGGGGACTAATATTGACTAAACACCTACAGCTTATATTTACAACTCTAATATGTCCACGATGTAACGACACTTTTCATTGGTAAATAACTGTTCTTGGAGGAAAACACACGGGCAAGCGTTTATTTTTTTCCAACCTGTTACGCTCGTGAACAAAATATTCCTCGGATCGTTATAGATAATGTTCTCTGTCTGTCAAGTGTTAATTTCATGTTTTGAAAAGTGACATCGTAAGATTGATCAGTGTTTATTGTTTATCGTTTGCCGAATTAAGACATCAAATAGCGGCTGTAAATGAAGCTTATGGGGTTTTCAGACCTGAATAGGGGAGGTGACGTCATCATTTTTAAATAATCAGTCAATACAGTCACGTGGCAATATTTGTAAGGGAGAACAAGTTAGATTCAAATATTCTCAAGAAAGCCTCGTGGTTCAAGAAAGCATACTTTTGCAACAAAATAATTTTGAAATTTGGCAATCCTTCCCCCGCCTCAGTAAAGATTTAATATTTCTAGAATACATAAATGTCAATTGTCATTTAGATTATATTATGACTTTTCATAATCATAATCGATTGACAATGTATGTCGTCTAGATATCTAATTAATGTGTTTTGTCTGCGATATTCCGTTTTGGTC